TCGGCTTTTGAATGCACTTCTTTTTGATCTGTAGGAACCGCACCCAGTAAACAGTGACTACCTGTACAGTATGCATTTTCACATTGTTTTTCGATTGCCTTATAAAGTCAAATATATTTCATAGAAGATATGCACAAAATATGCGTTATTTTACTCGTATGGTAGCAAGTCGCGTCGTCTTTACACTTGATACCCGAAGAAAGCATATATTTCGGTTCTAAAAGTTTTCCAATGCCCAAATAATGTTGACCCAGGTCAGCCTTTGCACGGGCACTTAGCGATTTCAGTCTACAGTGTATGCTATCCGCGTAAAAAAATCACACGTTCCTTTATGCCTTTAAGAAGATATCATGTAGAGTTCATATGATTTCGCAATGGATGTGGATTATGTTGCACACTTTATGGGGAGCATTAATAAAAGGACCGGTGCGATGGTGTATGAATGGACATTGTGACGCCTTAAAAATCTCATAATTAGAAACTTCTCGAAGAAAAAAGCACTCACTATTCAAGTATAAAATGCTAAGACGAGGCGACCTGCTAGCATTTGAGTGAAAAAACATTTTGTGCATATCTTCTATGCACTTCACTTGAATTTATAAGGCCATCGAAAATAAGTGCGAAAAATGCATATTGCCTAGGTTGTCATTTTTCTACAGAGTGAGATTTCTACAGATCGAGAAGAAGTGCTTTCCAAAGCCAACATCCTGGCGAGCCTAAGACTTCAAAGGATTATGTCGTATGATAATCAATATTACAACGCGGCCTAATTAATCCTTCCTAAGCGAAAACATTTCCGACTTTCGGTTAGCATTTCGTGAGATCTGTTACACCCTGCATATGGAGATGCTAAGACATTAGGACGTCATTCTTAAGATCTGGGACGTGCAATCGCATAGAAGGGACAAGCTTAAAACTTCGGCGCTGCCCGAAGACTACCAATTACCACTCAATTAGTGCTCACATTGAATAGCGACCACTCTTGAAAACCCGACCGGGGTCGAGCGCAGCCGTGAAAGACTCGACTTTGATGCCCGACCAAAAGCCCTCCGCTCTTAAGGGTCGGGCTCCGCACGCTGTAGGGTGTTGTGGCCTTCCTTTACAGAAAAAATACTGGTGCAAAATTAGCCTAAGCAAGAGGGTGTAGATGTCTGTCGGCCTTGCATTCGAAGTGACGCCCGGTTGCACGAGTCGACCGAACAAGCATAAAGGAAAAAGATCATGCAAAACGTAAGGGGTTCGACCATCCCGGCGTGAGCGACTGCGCCAGAGGTCTTGCCGGCATCATTCCCTAGCAGCATCGGAGCATGTGCACCTCATAGACGCGGGCGCCCCAACAAAATGTCCGTATTGTACTGCATCCCCGAACTTGGCTACAGCTATCGGCAACCAACGACCGTTCACCACTTTTGCATCGTTCGACTGCATTCACAGTGGGTTCGCTGCATGATGTTGTCTCCGGAGGGAGGCTGCAAAGCTAATGGGCATATCAATCAAGACAGCTAAGACCAAATAAATACCAAGGTGCATTCCTGGCATTCCCCATAATAAATAGATGTCGAATAATCATGATATCTTAATCATCGCAACTGCGGTTGCATGGAGTTGCCAAAACCCGCCCCGCGCCTGTATAACAAATGTAAAGTGACGTGTACGACTACAGTTGCCTGAGAACGAATGCTATGGTGGGATACACCGAAGTATTTTCGAGCACTGACATCCAAATGCCTATACGTCTGATAAGTACAGGGAATTAAGTACTTTGCTGAGAAAATCCATATTATGCCGCCATTTTTTCAAAGAGTTTTCAGTGCAGCCAAGTCAAACGATCTCAACAAGCATGAAACACTAGAGTTAAGATTCACTATGGTTCTGGAGGGCCGGGAAAGTGACTTAGAGCGCAGGGCAACCCGCCACCACTTAAAAAAAGCGCAACCCAGATGCCGCATAAGAACTATTGCATTACTTTTAAATAATTTCGTCTTCGTGTTAGTAAAGACTGTTTTAGTCACCAAACAGAATTTTATGTTAAATCTTGGAAAAACCCTCAATAAATAAAGCGAGACTTAAATACCATGAAGTGTCTGAACTACAACGCATGCAAATGAAATAGTATGGTCATTGGAAATAATGAAACCCTGACGTCAA